TTTATTTGCTTCTGATGGTCTGTTTTTTTTTACGGTGAAGTTAATTTTTTTTAACGGCGAAGTTGATTGTTGCACTAAACAAAGAAAATACAACAGAACAGTAAATGCACGCGCGTCCAAAAGTAGATTAGGAAAAAATTACATTTCTTTTCTCGTCAAAGAAACATTAAAAAATGCCCATAAGGCAAGGAAATAAATTAATGAATATGCTACACTAGTAACATTTGACAATTCAAAATTATGCAGTTAAATATTATCCAAATTTGGGTTTAAAGTAATGCCTCCTAAATCATAACACCTCTGTATAAAGTATAAATATTCATTACATTCAGTTCAGGGAAATTTCACTGCTAAGCAATGAGAAAATATTAGCTTACAGATTTTACTTCCTTGTAAGAAGTAAATCAAGTATTGCAATTGCGAAAAATTTCGGGCATTATATTTCAAAGAAAATATTGATTTTGACCACTCTCGAATCCCTCTGAATTATGCTCTTGCATGGAATTTGTACGTATAGACAGAATAAAGGACCATTTTTTTTATCAAACGGCATTGTATAATGGATTTGTGACGTCTATACGTACGTACGTATGCATGCATGTATCTCGCCTTCGAGGACATTCTGGGCCAAACCGGTAAGAATTCGTTCTAGAATGTTCTCAATCCGTCTATGGCATATTGCGAATTTTGTAGCCAAATTGGCGATTTCGCACCAAATATGGAATCCCTACCATCCCTTGCCGTTTTCTGGTAACCCTAAGCCCACCTTGCGGGGAAACTATCTTACATTGGCTGGACATTTCGTAACAATATACACCTACTCTGTAACTGGACTCGGTGAGCTCAGTTTTTTTTTTTTTTAATTCTTATTATGTTGGTAAATTGTGTATTTTTTGCTTTATAATTGATTGAATTAGGCTGTCCTTATGTTCTGGTTAAGGTGTTTATGCCTTTAGTTAATCTACATGCAATAGTTGTAGAATTATCGACAATTTAAAAGTTGTTTAAGTACCACTAACCCTAACGAAGCCCCTCATTTGTTTACATTTGAAACTTAGTAGAAGAGTGAATTAAGTCAGTTCCTGCGTCAACTTCAGGGTCTTTTTTGCCGAGTGGGACCAAAAGTAGACTTCCAGTTTTATGCACCGAAAAATCTGCCTTCTTGACCGCAGGCCGAATTGTTGGTTTTTGCATAGACACTCTAATTTTAATTCTAAAAAAATTTAACTATTTTTAACTGTATTTGGTGTTTTATGTTTTTCTGTGTATTACAATTTTTGGCGAAAATAATTTGACATTTTTTGTACTTTTGCGTTACGGCAAAGTGAGAACTGAATTAATCGAATCAGAAATATAACTTTACTGAAATTCGAGGAAATAAATGTTTAAATGTCCAGCAAAAAATGTGTATGATTTAATAGGCTATACAAGGAAGTCATGTGGGGTCTACATCAGATATGTTTTATGTTGTTAAATTGAAAATATTTTCCTTAATTAAAATCATAGCTTAATATGTAAATTTTTTCTTTTACTAAGTTCTAGCTGAGTATTATATTATACTCTTGAAGAAAAGGAGTAAGAATCTTAAAGAAAGCTATAATTACATATAATTCAGGTAAATAACTCAAGATCTATCTCTCAAAAAGCAAAGACATAAACAACACCGTATGTGAAAGTTTTACCGTATGTAGTTTAGTGAATTAAAAAATCTACAACCCTTTTAAAAACAAAAGAATGTATCATAATATTAAAGAGTCATTATTATTTAGGAAAAAATTACTTTAAATAACTCCTTAAACGAAAACCAGTGACGTTAGACGAAACAATGAAATATAATGACTATAAAAGTTAATCCTCTACTTTAATTTAAGATAGGAGAAAATCCATATAAATTAATTTGAACGAAATTTTCATCAATGAATCGTGTACATTAGACATCTTACTGATATCGTAATTAGTAAAAAGAGAAGCAAATTTTATACGGAAGTTTTTTTCTCTTATCTATGCAGAATTCTTCTTAAAAAGATTAAAATGCTGTCTAATTAAAAAAACTGATGATTTTAAATATTTAATTAAAGAAAAGTTGCTACTGAAGCTCGGTTGAGGCTTTAAGTTGTTTATTTTCTTCCTTATATCATGTGTACTATAAAAGAATGGGTAAACTATTGATCTACAGACTCATTTAAGAATAGACATTTTTAAGTCTTATCTTACTTGGTTAAGAATAGTTAAGATGTAAACAATAGACAATTTTAGAGAATATAAAATAATCGTAAGATTAATACAAATGATTTATCGGTTTTCAAAAATGCTCTGTTTCATAAACTCTTACAAACAAAAGCAAGAGTAATATATGAAAGAAATATAAATCTTTCAAATTTCGTTCTTCTTTAAACACTGTAAAAGTTCGATGATTTATGGGTTTCCAAAATGCTCTGTTTCGTAAAGTCTCGCAAACAAAAGCAGGAGTAATATATGAAAGAAATATTAATCTTTAAAATTTCGTTCTTCTTTTAAACACTGCAAATGTCTGATATACGCTTCTCTGTTAGATAAGAAGTATTACTCCAATTCTGCTCAGACGGATTGCAACATTTCCAACAATTATCCAAAGGAAACCATCCTTGGACATAATAGCAGGGGACCATCATGTGCATCTGAATAATTAATTCTAAATTATCTTTTCCATATTGTCTATTCCACGACGTAGAAGTTCATTTTTAGGTAACGATGTATCTCATCAAGCCAATAAAATCAAGCCCCATCTTGATGGAATTTAAAATTCTTCATTGAATCATATTCCATTACAAAAATAACCACATTGGCGGTATATTAAGATGTGATATACCCGTCAGAGTGTTTTCAAAGCCAATATTTCTTTGTCAAATGAGGCAGCAACATTTAATTTTGGTGAATCCCGTTTCTGTTCAACGACAGCATAATAATCTTCCACGCCCTATATCCAGATATTAAGATCATTTACCATTCCACACAAATAAAACGTCAGTTTCTCATTGAAACATGGGCGAACTCCAAAGTAGTCATTTTGCAATTCTTGTTGCATTTGATTGCAATTTCCATTCGTATCGGTTCATACAATTATTTGGCTTTGTAAAGTTTCAGCTGTAAAAGTTACCATGAAATCTTTCCAATATTTGACAGCGGAATAAGAAATTTCCGCGGCTAGAGTTACTTGTTGATTTTTGTGGTCTACTTGCGAAACTCTCTCTTATGTTCTCCAAAGAGATACTGAGGAATGTTAGACAAGAATTTCTATAAGGGGCTTTTCCCTTTATGCAAGCAGTCAATGTTCTTGAATTCTGGATAACACTGCAAAATGCTCTAATGGCTTGGTAGATCTCTATTGCACTATTGTCTTCGAAGCGCAAAGTGTAAAATAATGATGGATAAACGCTTTGCATATTTAAATACTAAGCTATTTATGCTATAAACTCGCCATTTTGAATCCCTACAGGCTATATTTTTGGTAATGTTATTTATTGCTCGTAATATTATTTTTGGTAATTTTTATTTATATTATTTTTATTTTTATTTATATTATATTTTAGGTTAATGGCAATTGTTGTTTCCCAGAATTTTACTTATTGCAGGCAGTTGATTGATGGATGTATATACCACAAATCTGAAAAACCTTTACCCTTTTTAAAGAGCAAAATAATTTGTCATATTTAAAAAAAAAAAAAAAAAAAAAAAAAAAAAAAAAAAAACTAGGAAAAATGTTAAGAGCAAGCTTTATGTTGGAAATATCTACATGTAAGTAAGGGCAAGTATAATGCATTAATTTGACTACATTCATAAACCGTTTTCATCAGGTCCCGGGGCTTTGTTTTATATACGAAGGCAACAAGAACCACCGTAAAATTGCATAAATTTGCAGGACTAGTTTCGAAGTTTTCAGCGGAAGCTTCTTCATTTGCAGGAATAAAAATGATGAAGAATCTTGTATTCACATGACAGCAACAGATCCGAATCAACAAAATCAACAAAAGTCGCAGTTCCATTCTTACAGATCCCATTCCGGATATGAATTCCTGGGGATATATAAAGTATTCCTATAGTATACATTTTAAAACTAAAACAGCCTTGAGATTCGCGCTAAGGATATATGTTAAGGGAGAAAATACATAAATCCTCTGTTGCCCAAGCCTGTTGGCCAAAAATTCATATTTTCAACTTTTCTGCAGCCAAACTTATTTAAAAAACATCTTCCACTGTCGAATACATTTTCTAGAGGCATTTCACATTCGTGAAAGTCTTTCAGTTCCAGTTAATGATGCAAATTCTAATACATCTTCGCTTTCAGCTTTTAAGAAAATTAATCCTTAGCTATTTTCATTTTATCAATAAACGGCACCAGTAGCACAAGCTTGTCCTTCATCATTTTCACTCTTGCAACAACAAATGCAGTTTTGCACTCCTTGCCATGATGAATTTCGTAGGCTTATTTTGATGTTACTGTCAAACAACTGAGATATGTCACGTCACAATGCAACACACACTTTTTAGGCACCTTCATTATTTAAGATTGTTCAGAGATGTTCTTTTAAATTAGCACGTAGCTAATTTAAATGACGAGCCATCGCGTCCGGCGACTTTGGCAGGACAAACGTTTCAATTAGTGGCATTTTGATCCTATTAGATGACTTACTTATTAGAATAAGAAGTGAATTCTTAATGCATTTTTAAGCGTACGAGTACAATTAAATAATTTCTATATATACAAGTTCGACAGTTGAATAAGGATACCCGAATGATAAGATTAGCTGCAAAAACATTTGAGGACTTCTGTAATAGTTACTTAAATATTTTATCACAACGTGTATTTTTACATTATGAAGCATTCAGATTTATCGCATAATTTCTCTTAAGCTGTAATTTAATTTAATAATAAAAGCACATATTTGTAACATAGATCTGTGAAAAATTACATCTATAATATTTGTATTATAAAAACCAAGAAAATCTTTACAATAACTCACCTGAATTCCATTCACAAGCCAATTTAACTTGGCAGCAGGTTTTGACTTAGCTGATATGCATTTCAGAGTTACATTATCTCCATACTGATATGTACCTTTTATGCCAGTAATGGTTGGCCCATCTGTCGGCAAAACTGAAATTAGGATGAAAAAGTAGTTAAACTGTGTTCAAACAGTTATATTCTTTTGTTCGTATTTTGAACGCTGTGCAATTTCATTTTAGAAATCTATCAAATGCATAAAAAATAACTTTTACAAGAATAATTTTATGTTGTTATAAGCACAATGAATGGCAAGGTGTTCGCATATTCTTTGCATGTCTGTTGGTCCCAACATCATTAAAAAGTAATATTAAAATATTCTATACAAAGATTTATTTTACATTCTTGTGAAAATTTACAATACTGACATTATGCATGACTTTTGGATTTGCAATGTAAGTGGGCTAAATAAAATATTATTACGTAACAAAATTGAATATAATTTACTGCACAGAATTTTATTAAGTAATTTTATCCGAAGATTTTAAGGCGATGCCTTCAACTTACTGAAAAATGCACTTTTATCACTTTGTTTTTTTAATCATTTTTCCAACCCTAATACCTTACTGGTCACATCTACCCATTTCAAAATATTCTAATTGGGAGTCGAAGATGAAGTGCGATTAAGATCGATAAGAACTGTCGTAGTTTTGACCTCCGCGGGTACGCAGCACATTGAGTTCATAGCATAACTAAATGTTAAAAGTCATAATGTTACGAATTTTGTAATAAATTAATCATTTAAATGAAATTATATTTTTTTCTCTATAAAAATCTAAAGTGACCACGCTCTGCCGGAAAAATAAGGTCACAGGTGCAAGTCTATTTACCATTGAAATATCTCGCTAAATTGGTGAGATATCGCCATGTTGGCGATGTTTTTGGCGACTAATTTTTTCCGCTAAATTTGGAGAGAAATTACCAAAAAGTCGCCAAATTGGTGATTATTTGGCAACATTGGGGTTTGTAATTGAATAATTGTAATTTCTCTGTATATGCAACTGAAAACGTATCCGGCTTTCATACACCTTCCAGTTATTTCGAGATGTGGAAAGTTATAGAAATCCCTTGTCGGCCGGAAGAAAACTATATAAGGCCCTGGAGAGCATCAGTTTCTCAGTTGTTAATTCAGGGCTGAATTCGGAGTATTGAGATAGCCGTCTTAGCTTCGTTCTTTAGATGCACTCTGCATTGGGTTGTATTTAACGTCCTTAGTAGTCTGAGTAAAACTACTTATTGTACTCTGTGATATTGTGAAGAGCTATAGATGTATTTTTGTGAAAGTTCCTGAACTGTGAAGTGTTTCGTTTAGTAAAATAGTAAATTTTATCAAGTTACCAGTTCTATGTGCATTCAGTCTATTACAAATCCCTACGCACACAAACATAATTTACTTATTTTGGGAGAAAACGTCTCTAGTCTAATTTTTTGTGTAGTAGCTAGGCATTGAGAATACTGTAACTGTGCACCTCAAAGTATTTTAATTAAATCTCTGCTACAATTGTACACACTTAGATTATATACTCTGGTTTTCAAATTGCCTGCTATTTTTAAATGTACAGCTTTAAGCTTCGTGATTCTTATATATATTACTTAAATTGTATATTTCCGATGAGGAAAACCGATGTAAGGAAGGGAAGAAATTGTGAAAATTGTCCAGCTCTTACAGAGTAGTTAGTGGATAGATTAGAAGTATATTAGTTGTAATCACAGGCTTCCAACGTTCAAACTTTGCCATGCCGGATGTCACGTACGTTTTAGATGAATATCGATAACAGTGATATTATTGCACAGCAGCAGTGGTTAAGTAATATGCTGTAATGATTTCCAGAGCACTCATTTAAATATCAAAAGCCTAAAATTACATTTACAAACAGTTCTGTAATCAGCTATCTTGAACATAATTATAATGAGTTAGAAACTGAGAAAAGAGAAAAAGAAAAAATGAATACATCCAGTTTTTAAATTTTAGAGCCCAAACTGTTACTGCTTAGAGAAACATAGTACAGTGTAGAAATAGCTCTTAAATAAAATATGTTAAGAAATCGACATAAAAATGTTACGTAAACTGACTGACAACATTCATCTGTTTCACGGCTTGAACACAGCTGTAGCTGGGTGCATCTGTCGAAACTTGGCATTTGTAGGCGCCAGCAGAATCCAGCTCCACACTGCGCAAGAAAACAGTGTTACTTCCAGAACGAGCTAACTGTAAAAAAAGAAGTGCACGCATTAGTGGCAATAGATTAGTCGAAATGTGCGCGAATATTTTGCAAGAGAGCAAAGCGAATCTTGTAGTTCAGAGCGTGATTTCGCTAGGCAGCGCACGTTACTAGTTTGTCTTTGCTGCTACGCTGAGTTCCTGATAGGCCCTTTTGGCCAGTTAATATACTCTTTTGCAAAACCATCGAAGCACCAAGAAGGACTTTTGCGATCGTGACGAAATTTGATATGCAAAAACATCTGATCGAACATACATATGATCAAAGTTTCAAGGCAAATGAACTAGAATTGCGATCATAGCGCGCATTTCTAGTGCGCAATTTGCAAAGTATAAAACCAGTAACAAAGGCGAAATTATTATTATTATTATTATTATTATTTTGCTCCATTGTAATTCCGCAAAGAAGCAACTAAAGATGGCATTACGACGATATCGAAGACCTTACAGACAACTAAACGACTTCGAACGTGGTCGCATTGTAGGGTTGCGTGAAGCTGAGTGCTCGAAACCGAGCAATACGCCGCCACCTGCAGTGTACAGACACTGCTGGCAAAGATGTTGGCAGCAATGGTTGCTACAAGGCAATTACCGACGAAATTAAGTCTCTGGAAGCCCAAGGAGCACAAATGCGAGGCAAGATAGGATAAATGTTCGCCAGGCCCGAACATCCCAAATTGTCGACTATTCGACGCACTATATACCTCCCGTGGTACCGTCCACCATCTCACGTCCCTTGTCTGAGGCGCGGTTACGCTCACAGAGGCCTTTAAGACGTTTACCGTTGACTCCACAACATCGGCGGAGTCGTCTGCAGTGGTGTCGCAGCCGATCATCATGGCTGCCATAAGACTGTCATTGTATCATCAGACGATGCCAGCGGTCCCAATCAGCCTTTGTTTTACAAAGGCATACAGCCATAACCTCTGATGCGACGGTGTGGAGCGCTATTTCGTATGACAGCAGTTCATCTTTAGTCATCTTTCGTACATCTTTAACTACTCAACGATATGTTGATACCATCCTGCGGTTGCATTACCCTTCATGGCATGTCATCCTGGGGCCATTTTCCAACAAGATAATGCCAGGCCACATACCGCTCGCGTATCTCTAGACTGTCTCCGTGCGGTTGATACTCGTCTTTGGCCAGCAAGGTTTTTTTCACCAATCGCGCATGTCCTTTCACTGCTGCTAGATTCGGTCACCACAAAATATCGCAGATCTGGAGAGACACCTGATGAATGCCTGGCAGAATGTGTCGCAGGATGACATTAGGAACCTCTACCACTCCTTGCCACGACGAATTCAAATATGCATTGCCACCAGGGGCTGTTCGACCAAATACTAATTGGTTCGACCAAATACTAATGGGTGATTGTGAGGTAACAGGTAACAATCAAGATAACAATAAAATGATTTTTTAATCATTTTATTATCTGTACCTCGACGAATTCAAGCATGCATTGCCACCAGGGGCGGTTCGACCAATACTAATTTGAACACTGAATGGGTGATTGTGAGCCGTGGGCAGGTACTGTTACCTTGATTTTTTAATCATTTTATTATCTGTGTATGAGCTATACACATATTCAATTTCATCAAAAACAACCACTGCCTTCATGGTGCTTCCATTGTTTTGCAAAAGAGTGTAAGTATATCGCCGGGTAGTTTGTTGAGTCAGCCTAGTTAGCCTTAAATTTCTTGTTAGTCCAGTACTAAATCTTTGAATTTGTTGTGAAACTATTCTCTTAAGCTACACCGCAAGTTATCGGTGTTATTGCACGCACAAAGTACGTGTATTTGTGTTAAGAATTTGATGAATAATAAAGGGTTTATTTTATACCCTTCTTATGTGCTGGTGTTATTCTCGCCTGCGCGAAAAGTCACTAGGTGTCTTAGTGAGATCTATTAAACTTTATGATAGCAAAGAAGGTGAAATCCCACACCACGAAAACGGAAAACAGTTATACTCCCTTTCAGTTTACAAAGTAATTTAAAGGTCTGTTAGCTCAAATATAACGTATTGGTTTAAATATCAAATTTAATTATTTTAAAAATTTTACTTACAAATAAGGAATACATTAAAATTTAAAATTATTCTGACAAAGCATAAAAGAGAAAATGTTTATTTTTATTTACGATTTCTTACAAGATATGACCTACATAAGAGGAAAATCACGAAAAATGCCATTTGATCAGCTTCATGGCATTGGGACTAATACTTATGATAGCACAGTTCACACCTATTTTGATAACCAAGATCCTTTGCAGACAGTAACAACTGCAAAGTGTTTGATAAGGATCGTATATTCCACTAAAAAATTACTTTTACAAGAACAAAGGAGGACCATCAGTTTATGTTGGTTAAGAGGTCACATTGGTATCCGGAAATGATTTGACCAATACGCTTGCAAAGAAGGCTACTGTAAGAAATATAATTAATATTAGAGTTTCTACTCCTTAGAATAGTTCGAAAAGATACAAGTAATAAAAAATACGGTTGAAAAAAAAATATGAAAGGTTTTAGATTTTAAATTACGCCCAAAGGGACGTTTTTTAACGTTTTGTGTGTTACCTTTATTTATTAAATATCATGTTCAATGTACTCCAACTATAAAATTCAGTTCAACAGCAATATAGCAGGTTAATTTTATATTGAACCTATCTTTAGAATTTTCGATACACAGTTCCGCGCGCTGGAGATAAAAAGGTTTTTTTTCCCCCGTAGAGTGTTGCAATTGCTCGCTTTGAAATCCTTGAGTTTGTTAATCAAAAATTCGTTAAAGTTTTACAAAGTATGAAATCAATCATAAAACAAATTCTAGATTTCAAATTTGGGCTTCAACATGTCCATATTTGTATGAAGATTACGTCATTCAAAATTCGATGGTTCTATGTACCGTTGTTTTATCACAATGTGAGAAATATACATACATTGATGCAGATTGATGCAGATACATTGATACATTTTTCATTATTTAATATCTTCAAGTATAATGCAGGACTCTAACATTTGGTGGCAACAGTTTGAAAAGTGAAACGGACATTTATAGTGATTCGACGCAAAATCACAAAACGAAAACAATAGTCCTTCAGGGACAAAGCCCGTTTGGACTAAAAATGCAACAGAAAATGAAAATAAATATTATGTATCTTGATCTTATTTACCTGGTATCAAGAATATTATTTAAATTTTCTAATGTTATAAACCGGGAATTTTGTTTAATTTATCTCACATACGGGTGTAAATGTCTTGATTATTCTAAGTGTATTTCTGTATAGCTTACAGATTCTTTATTTAACAGTTATTAAGGTTATTTTGCTTGCAGTTATTTGAATGCTGAACGAGGTTTTACTTTGTTTAATTTCATTGTGTATGCTGTGTTAAATGTACAGTTATCCTATTATTGCTAACACAATTGCATCTTATGTTTTTTTTTTCATGTCAAATTGCGTATGTATCGATTGTGTTAATTATTGATACTGATATTTGTTGGAGGTGCAAACTGAGTTATCTATGAGTAATGACTCTAGTAGTTAGGGAAGACTGTAGGTTTGTTGCTTATTAGCATCAAGTTATCCCAGGCTCAGCTTCTATTACTGATAACTGAACTTAGGACATAGTTATTAATCTTCAGTAACTTTATATTCTTAACAAGATGTGAGCATAATTAAGGATTACGAGAAAGATTTTTAAAAATACAACTACTTTAAAAGGTGAAAGATACCTGAAAGAAGGTAAAGAACGTGGTAGTTTTTCTCCTGTTGCAGTAGTCGAGCCAAATATCCCAAATCTGAAATTCTGGAAGCTGTTAGAATTGTGAAATATTCCAAAATATCAAGAACTTGAATTTTTTTTATATTCTGAAAACCAAGCACTGTATGTTATGAAAACTATAAAAGTTAAATAGTTATTTTCACTTGTAAAATCTCATGGATCGTCATAGATTTTTTACATTATGTGGTTGTCTAGTTTTTTACATTCTGTGGCTGTCATCATGAGGCTGATTCCTTGCTTTCTGGCAGTTTGCTTTCATTTCCCTAGTGAAACTCTGCTGTTGACTGGGGTTCTTTGACCTCCGATCTTCTTATAGATACAATCACTGGATTGTACGCTACGATAGGCCGAAAAACACTTTTCAAAAACATTTTTCTATTACTGTACCCTACAGAAATTGCCTGTCTCTTAGCTCTGAAACACTAAAAAAGTTTCCTTGCAAAAATGTATCTTTCATTAGAGTATCGCACTCAAAGTTTCGAAAAATACGAAAAACTTGCTGCTTTCCTCAGTTTTGTATAATTACTAAACTCATTGCTATGATAATGCGAATCCTAATCACTTCGTGTCTAGAGACTTTCCTAACGTAAATTTTGATACATCAGGAAAACGAAAGAAGTTAAAAACCTGTAATTTCGAATTATTTATTGTTTGAACGAAAAGCTCAAAAAACAAAAAAAATTTTTTTTTTTTTGTAAAAATAAGATTATTTTGTAATTTCTGATAATTTGAATTTTTCATTTTTAGTAAAAAAACGGGGGATATATTTATCATCTTTAATGTTGTTTATAAGAGAGCCTCTTAAAGTTAGTTTTATGGGACAACTCTGGCATGATAGTACACCTTGATAAGAGAACCTTCCTAATGAAGCCGTCTCTTGAGTCAGCTCTGCACACATTATTTTAGATGCTTCGGTTACAAGTTTGATATACCGTTCTGTGGCTTGAGTGTGACAGAAAGCCTAGGAAGTTCAGTTGCAACGACGTGCATGTCTTTAATAGATTTTTGATGTCCTCCTCAGTAATTTTCCTTAAGAATAAAGGAGGAGATATTACTATCTCATATTGAAGTAGTCTATTGCTTCGGTTAAGTTTTGGCGTTGAAAAGTCTTCCCCTTGGTAAAATGATCGAGCTTTCAACAATCAGGGCAGCCCTAGTTCTCTGATATGTCTTCTTTCATCCCCAGATTTTTCTAGGATATTTTCGAGTT